GAATGACTGCGAATTATAAAGAAAGGGTGAGTCTTTCTTTACATAGAAAGAGTGAGTCTTATATACTCTGTTTATGACCTAAAGGTAAGTATAATATGAGTACATAAGTATGCATATGAGGCGATATATAGGAGTAGTGAGTGGTGTATGAGCTCATCGAAGTCATCATGATGGTTGACTGGAATATTCCAAGGAGTGTATGATTCACATTCACGACAATATAATAGAGAATACTTTCACTTGAAATAAAATCATAATTAATGCATAAATTGAATATATTCTGTGTATTATTGGTGTTTCTAATTGTGGAGACTATTATTGTTCAATATATTTGGTGTGATTTGACATAAAAAACACTTAAAGTGTTTAACTTAAACGAAATTAGTCATATATACTTCTCTCTCTCTCTCTCCTCTCACTCTCCAAATTAATTTCTATAATGACTTATTATTTTAATCAATATTTAAAAAATTTAATTTTATTTTTAAAAATAGGTTTTACCGATGTTTTAATTAAACTACTATTTACTGCATTACCTTATTGAAAATGGATTAGATTTTAATAGATTTTAGAGAATTTGTGAATGATATCTATAGTATATAATAAAGAATACTTTTACACAAAATAAAATCATAATTAATGCAAACATTGAATATTTTCTGTGTATTATTGGTGTTTCTAATTGTGGAGACTATTATTGTTCAATATATTTGGTGTGATTTGACATAAAAAACACTTAAAGTGTGATATTTTAAACATTAATTTAAGTGTAAGTCTGAGTGTCTGTCGCGATAGTATAGGAAAGGGAATAAAAAATAAAAGTTAAGGCATTAAAAAATAAATACAAATAAAACTAACTTTTGATAATTTTCTTTACGTCTGTCGAGAGAATGAGTGGAGAAAAGTGTTATTTTCGGTAAACAAGCCTTAAATCTGTTTTATCTGCACAACAGCTGTGCGTTCAACACAACATCGCTTTAAGTATTATTCTCTCTCTCTCTCTCTCTCTCTCTCTCTCTCTCTCTCTCTCTCTTTCCAGTAAAATATTTTTATTTATACATTATATCATAAGATATTGTGTTTCATATTTTCAATATAATAAATATACCTCTTTTAAAAGGAAAGAAAAAAGTGAAAGCAATTCAATATAACAAACACTTGGCTTCCTTTGGCACACAATTCTGGACCCGAATAGAGAAGCAAAACATTGTGTATAAAAAAATCATTATTAAGAAATTGTTCGCCAGATTGAAAGGCATTGAATTCAGTGCCGGTGCTCTCACTC